CCCCCTTGGAGTCACCAGGAACAATGGCCACAAGCTGAGGGAGAATAGGTTTAGGTTAGATATTAGGAAGAACTACTTCACTGTAAGGGTGGCCAGAGCCTGGAATAGGCTCCCCAGAGAGGTGATGCTCTCACCTTCCCTGGAAATCTTCAAGAGGAGACTAGACAGGCATCTGGCTGGGGTCTTATAACCCTTCCCACCCCCGGTGCTCATTCCTGCCCATGGCAGGGGGTCGGACTCGATGATCTGTATAGGTCCCTTCCGACTCATGATTCTATGATACTATGATTCTATGATTTAGTACTTGGTTATCCAAGTACTAAAATTTAATGTGCAGTAACTATGGCACATTAATGAATGTGTAGACACGCCCATTGTGCTTCAAAGGGAACAACAGCATTAAGGCGCTCTTAAGGAGGTGCTTTACAAGCTGGCATAATGAACTTCAGGCTGCTGCTGAAATAACTGTGTAATATTTCCCCACCAATAAACTTTAGGCCAGGAATAATAGAAAACCTAAAAACAATTAGCAACTTTTAAGACGACAACTGATGACACCCCCCTCTTCCCCTCCCCTCCCACAGCTCTTGCTGGAAAGGGGGAAGCACAGACTTAGTTTTAAGCCCAGTGCTTCACTTGAGATCATTTGGGTTTACAGAGGCAAAATATAAAAATTCCCCTCAAAGAAAGGGAGCATTATTTACCAAATACCTCAGTAGAGTATCTGATCCACCTACTGCTTCTCAGAAAAAATAATGAAGGTCCTATAGAATAAGCACGTTATGGCTCATACACTATATCATGAGGGACTTTTGGTGCTGAATGCTGTTCAGTAATGCTGTTCATTACTCTTCTTTTCTCATGGTAGCTGCTGAACATGCCTTTAATCTTCCACTTGGTGACCTCTTGCTCCATCTTATTTGCAGAAGCCTGGTAAATGACTACAACATTTTTGGGAGAAGCAGGGTCACACCATCCCTCCCATAACGTAATATTGTAATAGTTTTGTCTGTTGTCCTAATTTTTTTAATGTAATGTTATTTTGTTCTCTTAAAGGTCAAAAGGGACTGCAACTCACACTGCTATCCAAGGTACATTAGTGATTGAAAAATATCCCCAAGGATTAGATTATTATGTGTATATACAGACAGGAGAAGGTACTTTCTAGAAAGAATCAGGCCTTGGGGAAAAAAGGACCACCTTTGTGCCCTGTGTTTGTAGCCCCAAGAACAGTAGAGTTCTGGCTTATAGGTGACATATTTCAGAATTTCCATTAAAAATGGAAAAAGTGGGCAAAATCTTCAGTGAGTATAGTTTCATAGTTTCTAGGGTCGGAAGGGACCTGAGCAGATCATCTAGTCCGACCCCCTGCCATGGCAGGAAAGAGTACTGGGGTCAAACGACCCCAGCAAGGTGTTCATCTAACCTCCTCTTAAAAACCCCCAGGTAGGGTTCTCTTGGAAGTTGGTTCCAGACCCTAGCCACCCTGACCGTGAAGTAACACCTCCTGATATCTAACCTAAACCTACCCTCTGCCAGCTTGTGACCATTATTCCTGGTCACTCCTGGCGGTGCTTGGGGGAA